AATCCTCCCTGAGACTATGAATTGACTAATACCCAAGGAAGCATAAACATGCAGACACAAATGTTCCTAAAAGCAAGCTCGCTGGGCAGTGCAGGATGTGGCTTGGAATCTGGAAAAAGGAACATTTTGCTCACTTGTACGTCTAAGACTAACTCCAGGTGCTGCTTGAAACTAAGTGATTGGCTTTTCTGATGCTCAGATGTAACTTCTCATGAGAACATAGAAGCATGTGCAGTTGGGGATGCTAGGAATTCCAGGAAGACCCTCTGGGCCTATTAAAGCCTCTGGTTTCAGTGGGTCTTAAAGCATACTTCAGCATACACAGAAATAGCGGATGACATTGTTTCCTTTTGAAGGAGTCTGATTTAAATCTGTTTAAAATTTTTTTCTTTTTAAAAATTTTGCTGGGGTGTGGGTGTGGAGACATTGCTCAGTGGTTAAGAGCACTGATTGCTCTTGTAGAGGATCTGGGTTTGATTCCTAGCACCCACATGGCGGCTATGAATTGTCCTTAACTCCAGTTCCAAGGGAATCCAAAGCTATCTTACGACCTCTTCGGCATTGCACGACACGGGTGCACTCACATACATGCAGGCAATACACTCATACACATAAAATAAAAATAAAATCTTAAAAATAATTTTTTTGCTGGGGGGATTGGGATGTGGGGGATGGGCAGGATTGAAATAGGGTTTCATGTAGCCCAGAGTGGTCTTGAACTCACTATATAGTGGAGGATGGTTGTGAATTCCTTGATATTCCTGCCTCCAGGTCCTGAGTGCTGGGACCTGTCAGGCACCATGCCTGACAATGTTTTATATGAGTTTTATCTAATTTATATAAGTTTTATATAACTTTGGAAATCCAGTTAAGACTTTGCAAGTGTTCACACTTAGACCAAGGATCTCCTATTACGGACTTTAGACTTACATGGCCTGCTGTATCAGAGACTTCTCAGTTCTTCTCTTAAAATCTTTCAACTTGGCTATTTAAAAAATTTTTATTGACTTCTGAGATTTTTGTGTAACATAATTTGATCGTATTTAGGTCCTTTCCCCTTACTGCCCTCCACCCAACTTACTGTTCTCTCTCTCTCTCTCCCTCTCTCCCTCTCTCTCTCTCTCGACTGCTCTTGCAGAGGACCCAGATTCGATTCCCAGCATCCACATGGTGGCTGTGAACTGTCCTTAACTCCAGTTCCAGGGGAATTTGAAGCCCTCTTCTGACTGCCTCGGCATTGCACGACACGGGTGCACTCACATACATGCAGGCAATACACTCATACACATAAAATAAAAATAAAATCTTAAAAATATTTTTTTTGCTGGGGGGATTGGGATGTGGGGGATGGGCAGGATTGAAATAGGGTTTCATGTAGCCCAGAGTGGTCTTGAACTCACTATATAGTGGAGGATGGTTGTGAATTCCTTGATATTCCTGCCTCCAGGTCCTGAGTGCTGGGACCTGTCAGGCACCATGCCTGACAATGTTTTATATGAGTTTTATCTAATTTATATAAGTTTTATATAACTTTGGAAATCCAGTTAAGACTTTGCAAGTGTTCACACTTAGACCAAGGATCTCCTATTACGGACTTTAGACTTACATGGCCTGCTGTATCAGAGACTTCTCAGTTCTTCTCTTAAAATCTTTCAACTTGGCTATTTAAAAAATTTTTATTGACTTCTGAGATTTTTGTGTAACATAATTTGATCGTATTTAGGTCCTTTCCCCTTACTGCCCTCCACCCAACTTACTGTTCTCTCTCTCTCTCTCCCTCTCTCTCTCTCTCTCTCTCTCTCTCTCTCTCTCTCTCTCTCAAGCTTATAGAGTCTAATTTGTGTACACAAATGTCTTTCAGTGTGGGTCCATCTACTGAACCTGGTCAATCCACCAGTTGTGGGTTTCTGTGTTAATTACCATCTGCTGTACAAGGAAACTTCTCTGGTGAGAGCTGAGAGATGTATTAATCTATGGGTATAACAATAAGTCATCAGAAGTCAGTTTAATACTATTTAGCAGAAAATTAGTATTGGGCTCTCCCGTATGCCCTGTGACCTGTCTAGCTCTAGCTTCAGGTTCCTAAGTCTGATAGCAATGTCAGGTATGGGCTCCATCCTATGAAGTGAACCTTAAGTACAATTACAGAGTTGTTGGGGACTCCCATAATATTGTGTGTCACTACTATACTGGTAGGCATAACTTGACTGGACAGTTGTTGTAATTCACAGGATTCACAGCTGGGGAGGGCGGATGACTATTTTCTTCATCCAGTAGCATGTTTAGGACCTTCCAGCACTATGACCACCTGCCAGTAGAGGCTCTGAAGTCAACACCAGCTTTATTTCTACTTGTTTGTTCTACAGCTCATATGTATAAATGTCATCAGTAATAGGGTCTTACTGTCAACAACTTGGCTATTTTAACAGGTAAGTCATGCTTCCAAAACATAGGGGAAGGAGACAGTACTGTGGAAATAAAACTACATGTATATAAACAAATAAAAGGTAAGTTCCCTTATCTACAAAATATGTATAGCAACAAAACTGCATCAGATATTATGAAAATAAAACTAATAATAAATGCAATGGGCCCTGAAAATGTTTTTTTAAAAAAGCAACAAAAGCAAAGGAGCCGTGGTGACAGTGGCATCCATTCTTGTTTTCCTCTGACTTCTCCTCTACCCGGGAACTGTATGTTATCTCAGTTCTGAGCCATCTGTTCTAATATCAGTCTTCCTAGTGAGCATCACTGTTCAAGGGCAGGCTCCATGGAAGCCTAAGTATTCTCTGCTTCTTTTCTTCAGCTGAGTTCTGCAGTTTGCTGTGTGTATGTGAGCAAAGTGGCTACAGCTAGAGTATACAATTACACATTACTGTAGTTCCTCTGAGGTTTTTCTTTTTCCTGTCACTAGTAGTGAATTGCTAGGAATGCAATTACCATGAAATCTTCAGAAAACCTAAAAGGGTACATAGCTAGTGTTAATATGGTTAGGATTACAGATGCGTGTTTTTGTTGTTGTTTTTTGTCTAAATGTCTGTATGCTTTCACTTTTGCAATCAATAAGAAAAAAATAACAAAAAAGAAAACTTTGAAATAACAAATACATGTCCATAATGTTACATAAGCAAACAAAAACACTCTAACCTGGAAATTTCTCAAGAGGAAATTTAGTAAATAAGTGTGTAATTCATTATAAAATTATGAGTACAATATTATGTGAAACGTTTTTGTAATAATTTGTATTACAAGGCACTGGAGCCCAGAGGACCCGAGTTCAGTTCCCAGCACCCACGTGAGGCAATTTACAACTGCTTATTAACTCCAGTTCCAGGGATTCTGACACCTCTGGCATTCATGTGCACATACCTACACTTGTGTGCACATACCCACACTCAGTTAAAGACACATGTACAAATTAAAAGTAATAAAAATGAATCTTAAAAAGAATTTGTGTCACAAAAGACTTACATAATTTTAATGTCCTGTCAGGTTGATTCAAAGTTAAGATAAATAAAGAACATTGCATTGTATCTACTTTTCCAAATTTCATAACAGCAGTATGGCAATTTCATGAAAAACAAAAAAAAGTGAAAGACCAATCTCAATAC